AAAATTCAATTACAAACCAGCTGGAAACCGGGTCCAGCGTCCCTTGCATGTATGCCATGGTGTGTCGGGCTGGGCGAGGCACTCCTGGCCAAGGCCATCCCTACCACGGCGAAAAAGAGCTATCTTGAACAATTGTTTGAAAGATTAAAAAGGGGAGCTTGTGGAGTAAAGAAACAAAATTAACAAGACTTACTAATGCTACTCTCAGAAATGCAGCTATACATCTACTGTCCTAATGATCGATACTCCCACCAATATAGCCATTCAGTATGGCCATTCAAAAAACTCAGACTACTTATGGTACAAAGAAAGTAGAGAATCTTAACATCGGTTGGCAACCCGGCTTACAATGAAACTTCAAATCTCAGAAGGAAAAAAAAAAAAAAAAAAAAAAATGCACATCTCGGAAGGATGATGACACGCATAAATCGGTCGGGAAATCGTCCGAAAAAAAAAAAAGAAAGAAAAAGAGGGTGTACGCATGGCTGTACAGTTGACAGTATGTCCGCCGCGGCGCAGTGTACATGGCAGGACACGTGGCAATACATGTGAACGTACACTCTAGCTGGACACGTTACAGGACGGTAGGCGGGGACAACTGGCAGGACACGTGACAGAACTTGTGGACGTACCGTCTTCTATTTATTTATTTATTTGGTTTATTTTGTTTGATTTGTTTTATTTTAAAAGGGCGACAGCCTTGGGATATCGTCATTCCGAACCGACCGGCCCTACTTTCTTCCCCCGAATACAACGTACGGTCATTATGGCTGTATCTAGACAGAAAGATGCCTCAAATACAGGTTCGAACCCAGGAAAAGCGGAAAATGGAGGGGAAAGAAAAAAACGAAATACAGACCCAGGTTCGAACCCCCAGAGACAATAAGCAGATGACCATGGGCGGGGTCCCACTAGCAACAAGGATTGGATTGAACGCCTGAATCTGCCTTTGACTGGCTACCTTAATTGCACATGTGATGCCTTTCTCCATGAATTTATCCATGGTATGGACTATTCTACGGCGCTTGCCATGCCATCTGCGCAGCACTAAGAGGCGGCAAAAGTTGCTTCGCTTGTAGTAGCATGTTCCTGTGCCATCATAGAAACATAATCTAATCGATCAAAATAAGGCAAAGTTTGTAGATAGGTTTTATATTTAATTAATATTTCCGTACCTCTATGAAATAAACCAATATGTGGTTCTGCACTGTTCGCGAAGAGGTGCAGAAATCCGAGATTGAACTGCTTTTCTGCATCTCTTCCTACGACACGTCCAGAGGTGCAGAAATTCGAGATTGAACTGCTTTTCTGCATCTCCTCCTACAACACGTCCAGATTCAGGAGCTCAATCCAATCCTCTTTGCTAATGAGACCTCGCCCCAGAATGGAGTCATCGGAATTACCTGAGGTCGGTGTGTTCAATGATGATATCTCAAGAGGCGGAGAATGTGGGGCAAAAAAAAGGAAGTAATAAATAAATGATGCAGCAAAAAAAAGAAAAAAAAACAAAAGGCTGACGCGGACGAGCCAGGGCGCTAATAAGTGACACAGAAGAAACCCGCCGCTTGCGATGTTTTGAAGGCGAAAATTACCCGGTCGGGATGCACCTACTAGGCGTCTGCACGTCCAGATGCGGGTGCATGCTAATGGGCCTACGGGCTGTTGATGGTTTCCAACCTTTCGAGCGGACTGCGGGTGTTGATGTACTAACGCCCCTCTCCCCTCTCCCTTTTTTTTTTTTGTTTTGTTTTGAACTCTCCCCTCTCTCGCTCTCTACGCCAGCCCCTATTCCACCCCCAAATAGAATATAAGAAGAGGATATTGATGAGAGAGGATCTTCATCAGGATGCCCACAACTTCACCGTCGCTCGCCGAACACAACACGGGTTTACAAATCTGTATCCGGCCAGAAAATTCGGCTGAGTCCAGATATAATGACCCCGCTTTTTAGCCTGGACGTTCATATATAACTGTAGCGCTTTCTATTCAGGGGTTGAGGGAAATCCAGGTAATGCAGAATGCAAAAGTTGGCCATTACCTTCTCTCTCACACGATCACTTCGTCAAGGCTGTGCATTAGCCCCCCTCCTCTTCGTTCTGCAGATGGAAGTCCTACTCAATGCACTGAGGGCCGCCCCACTCATTCAAGGCCTCGACTTGGGACGGGGTGACAGACTACTTACCGGGGCAATAGCAGATGACTTATTACTAGTAATGGAAGCCACACCGCAATCAACGATAGAAGCCAAGCGCATCCTAGACTCCTATTCCCTCCTCTCAGAGGCACAAGTTAACTGGAATAAGTCGTTATATTTCTTACCAGCAGACTATAGCCTAGAGGGAGGGGACTGGGGCATGAAGAGGATTCCTGTCAACCTGTCAGAGAGATACCTGGGTCTTCAGGTATCTCTCTCTGATGCCCGCACAAGTCAAGATGCGATCTTGCGGGCTAAGACTCAGTCCTCCATCCTATGATGTCGTACGGCAGTTGGAATTTCATTGCTAGGGCAAGCCATTCTTATTACTTCGGTAGTTTTTGCCCAACTCTGGTTCGTAGCTGCAGTCTATCTGATCTCCAAACCAACTACTCGACTTATCACTGCGGATGCTGCACGGTACCTCTGGAAACCAGGGGAGCTGCAAGGGGGAGGCTTTATCAGTAAATGTGCATGGAGTAAAGTCACCTCCTCCAAGGCGGAAGGAGGTTTGGGCATTGTCGACCCAGCTACCCAGAATGTTGCGCTGTTGGGCAAATGGCTCCAGAAGGCGGTCACTCAGGTGGAGAGAAGGGCCTGGATTGTCATGTTGGAGTACATCCTACAGCGCGAGTTTGCATTGGCACGGGCTGAGGACTTGTGGCATTGTGTCTTCATGGCCTCCTTCTCTCGAAGGCAGCCTCCATCCATCTTGGATGCAGCCTGCTGGACAGCCTGGAGAGCTCTACAACCACAAGTAATGAAAGAGCCAGTCACTAGGGAAGAGGTACTGCGCCAACCCCTATTCGACAATCCAGCCATCTTGAATCCACAGGGCCATCAGTTTGCTGCGACCGCATCACCAGGAGACTTTGGCAGGAGGTGGGTGGAACTAGGAGTCACAACTATTGCGGACATCTGGCAGGAGGATACCAAGTCCTGGACAACTGCGGAACAGCTTCAGGGCAAACTCAGACATCTCCCAAGAACAAGAGACAGGCTCCAGCAGCTACATTCAGCTATCCCAGCACAATGGCAATCTCTGCTCCGGTCTTCGGACCCTGTGGAAGGTGAATGGTACCTTGACTCTCAAGTACCAGGAAGGGAGACAGTCTTCCGAATCATGGACCTGCTGGACAAGGATGTATGGTTAGCACAGGAATGGGAGGTGGGTGAGCGAGGCTCAGATGGAGAGATCCTACATCTGCAACAAGAAACAGCAATCGACTCGAACACCTCACTAACTCTGGTACGGGTCCACACCCGACCGTGTAGCCACCCCCCTACCCATGAACTTCTTATGCAGGGGCAACCAGTGCTACAAATGAGGATTGACCCAGTCAGTCGACAGTGGAAACAGTCGAGGCCAAGACCGTACTTGCAGCTGTTCCAATACTCCTCATGTGCAGGCAGACAGCTATTGAGTAGCCACACAGGACTGGCTCAAGGGGCGGCACGCGCCCTTAACCTCACCGTGTCGGCGCAGCCGCCAATCATGGGAAGGGACTTGACAGCGCTGTGGGATCAATTACCAACCCTCCCTTCGCGGAAGTTCTCAAGTCTGCTCTAGCTGATCTCCCTTTCGGCTCTTCCCTGTGCAGTCTGGCTGTTCGAGACAGGCATGGAACTGGAAACTCAATGTAGACGCTGTTGCTGCAGAGCAGAAGAAACCTTTCATCACCTCATATGGAGCTGCCCAGCCTCAAGACGCATATGGGATTGGTGGAGCCGTCACTGGTACCGATTTGTGGGACCCCTCCTACAATGGGACGAAGTCTGGGCCTTGTTGGGCCGTCTTCCACCCTCATGGTTCAAGCACATTGGCCATGGTTACGTGGCCCAGGCGATCCGCTCTGTTATCATTTGGGTGATCTGGGAGGACAGAAACAATGTCCTCTTTCGACAACAGTCGTCTAATGATGCTGCCATCATCCAAAAGATCAAGCACTGGATACGTATCATGATCCGAATGGACTGGACCAGACGGGCAAAGGAAGGGTCCACACCAAGAGGACGCCATTGGTTCCTTGTTACATGGGCACGAGAGAATCAGCTGGCGGCCATCACGCGAGAAGGCAAGCTTCACATTTCTCCCTGGCTCACGAGTTAGTAGCTTAGAATTGTTACCTCTCCTATGAACCAGGACACTCGGTTCCAGTGGGCGGTCACAGTAGACTGCAGAGGGTTGGTGGGATGGAGAGTGTCAGGTTACCCCAATGGAACCCTGGTTCCTCCTGGCTGCAGTAGACCGGGACTCAGACCGATGGTTAGGTCTGTGTTCGTTCACAGTTGTAGGATAGGGACGGTATAGATAGTAGAGCTTGCAGCAATTTCGAGAGAGTATGTAGCAGTGTTAAAGAGGAAGCAGGTTTTCTCAGTGAAATATTCACTAGGATGGTTATTAAACATTTTGAGAGAGTATGTAGCAGTGTCGAAAGAGGAAGTAGGTATTCTCAGTGAAAAGAGCCAGCAGGCTGGTTAATAAACATTAGATAGTTGAGTTGAAGAAGGATTGGTTTCATAAGCTAAACCGGCTGATGCTGCCGGGATAACTCTGGTTACGAACATTTTAAATAAAATATACTATTTAGCAAAAAAAAAAAAAAAAAAAAAAAAAAAGGTTGGCGATTGCCCTTCGGGACATGCGTTAAAATTGGAACGATACAGAGAATGAAGATTAGCATGGCGATGGAGGGCCGCGCGAGTGTGCGTTAACGCAGCGGCGGTGGCGGCGCCCGGTCGTCGTTAGTTAGTCGCGGCTGTGTAGGTGTGGCGTGTGAGCTTCGGGTTCTATCATTCCTACGTGGCACCTACCCTGCCAGGCACCATAGTTGTGTGAGAGCTATGGCGACAGTGCCCTGGCGTAGCCTAGCCATTGAGTGGGTAGGGAGTGCCTTTGCACTCTTACGCCATGGCATCCTGGCAGCTCCTCATTGGACCTTCATACCAACCTACACACCTACAAGACCTTGATATCGGAGGAGCCGCCTTCCCCTCAAGCCTTCTGCTGGAAAGGGGGGGCTCCTTTTTCAACATCTAAAGACCGCGCGCTGCACGACACGACAGCTTGACTGCCCTGTTCACTAAAAGCTGAGCGGCGTATCTGGATGCAGTGGGAGAGCGTGCGGCTGCGGTGGCAGCGCTCCGGCACACTGAAGGGCTGCAGTAAGTCTCAATTGATTATCTTTGTCGCAAGGCAGTACGTTGTTCATTTGTTTCAGTTTCGGGGTTTTCCCGGTTTGCCATAGGTCACCCAAGCCTTGAGTGGTACGGGGAGTGTTCCACGCTCGACCTACGGTCATCCTGGAATTCTGCGTATAATTTACCATGTACATATCTACGGCAGTTTCCGGGAAATTAAGATGATGAAGACATGAGTTCTCTGCTGGGCCCCGAAGCCCTATGGAGTTTAGAGTTGTCTACGTAGTTGAATTTTGGAATTGTTTTTTGTCGGTGGATTTCTCAGTGTAGCCTGCCTACTAAGACATATTGTAGTTTAGTTCGTAAAAGTGGTTGTTCTTTAAGCCCAGGAAACAACATTGTAGGGTCACCGAAGCCTTGAGTGGTACGGGGAGTGTTCTACGCTCGACCCCTGGTCATCTTGGAATTCCTGCGCATAATTTACCGATGAAATATCTGGGAAATTAATATATCTTTCGTAAAAGTGGTTGTTCTTTAAGCCTAGGAAACAGTCTTGTTGGGTCACCCAAGCCTTGAGTGGTAGGGGGAGCGTTCTACGCTCGACCCTTGGTCTTCTTGGGAATTCCTGCATATAATTACCACTGAAATACCTACAACAGTATCTGGGAAATCAATATGATAACGATATGAGTTCCTTGCGGGGTCTTAGCAGCTCCGAAGCCCTTGGGGTGGCGGCACCATTAGTGGGAGTGGGAGGCTCACTAGTGGCGGTGGGAACGTCGCCCGGGCGCAGTAGGAAAACTAATTCCCAGCCTTAATCGCGTTTGGAGGAATGGATGACCTTTAGAATAGGGAGGGTGTCATAGGGTCACCCAAGCCTTGAGTGGTGAGGGGAGTGTTCCACGCTCGACTTTGTGCCACTTGGAAATTCTCGCTAGTTTTCTTTCCCCTTTTTAGGCGCGGTCATTCCTTCTTTTTGGGAATTTTCTGGGACTTTCCATATGTGGCTGCTGTTTTGGTTGTCTTTAATGGCTTATTGTTTTTAGATACTAGTAATTAGTTGAGTTCTAATTTGGGTTATGGTTAATTAATAGGTATTTGGAAGGGACTGTAGATTTGAATAGTATCTAAGAACTTAGTTGGTTTTGGAATAATTTTAGCGTTATTTGCAAATTTTCGTGAATTGCCTTGGGGCATTTTCGAGGTCTGCAGTTTACTGCCTGCTGTTTGGAGCCAGTAGTGTTTCGATTTTAGAAGCATGCCGGTGCTCTGCTGTGTAGGAAGGACATTATATTGTCATAGATTTGTTTTGCAATTCTTTTCTTTGGCCTTTTTTGGAGATTCCTCTAAGGGACACTGGACCTGGTATCCAGCAGCCTAAGCTGAGTACTGGCCTCAGCAGTTGTGTACCGGGTTGATATGTAGGGGTGTGTTCCCGGGCCCCGGTGATCTCTTTGGAAAGAAAAGTGCAATGTTTCTCCAAAAAAAAAAAAAAAGGAAACAATAAAGATATCAATTCATTTTTTTTCTTCTTCCTTACAACTCCTCCTGTTCAAAACGTCTTGCATACAAGGCCGCCCACGTAGGTGTAGGTTGAGAGGCGGCTCCCCCCACCCCCGTGTGTCATATCGCCCCACTTGCACACAGCCAAAAGGCAAAGAGGCAAAGAGGCAAAGAAAAGAGGAAGGGAACAGCCAAATATATTT